TAACTTCCGACATGGGAAGAATGCAATCAGGTCATGCTGAAATGACCTCACCTTACGTGGTTACGAGGAAGGAGCTTAATGCATTGTCCAAGCGTTTCCGAGCAGCTGCTTCCCTGAGAACTCAACAAGGCCTTTTCTGGGAGCTCCTCGGAATATCCACAATGACTACAGCCCTCTATCCTGGCGCCAACACAGAAGGAGGTGTTCAGCGTTCGTTTGACACATACTGAGGAAGGGTTTCGAACTGTAAGGGATGCACTATGGCAGGCAAAGCGCACACGCAGCTGCTTTCCACGGAGTGGCATATTGTCCAGCTCCACTTTGGCAATCTCCGCTAGGGTTCGTGTTTCCTAGGAAGCAGAGGAAAATTAGAATAACTCAGTTTGACAAAGAATACCTTAGCAGCCATCAACAGTCTAAAATAGTATAGTTCAATAACAAAGTATCTCCCCTGAAAAACTAACCACCATACAAAGAAACAGAAGTGAAAGAACTTAACTGTGTGCTTCAGTTCTTTGGCCACCCTAGTTTGCTTCTGATGGCCTTGCAATAAATCACATGTAATCCTAGAAGTTAATAACACTTAGGTGGTCATCAATTTCATAGGTATTATTCTCCCAAGTGACAACAGATCATCCAGAAAACAAAGACCATTGGCCGGGTACGGTGGCTCACGCCTGTAATCCCAGCATTTTGGGAGGCCGAGGCAGGTGAATACCTGGCTAATACAGTGAAACCTTGTCTCTACTAAAATACAAATAATTAGCTGGGTGCAGTAGAAAGCACCGGTAGTTCCAGCTACTCCAGAGGCTGAGGCAGGAAAATCGCCTGACCCCGGGAGGTGGAGGTTACAGTGAGCCAAGATCGCACCACCGCACTCCAGCCTGGGCAACAGAGCGAAACTCCGTCTCAAAAAAACAAAAACACAAAGACTACCCTAAAATCACCCAGAATATTTTAGTTTTTTTTTCGAGATGGAGTCTTGCTATTTTGCCCAGACTAGAGTGCAGTGGAGCGATCTCAGCTCACTGCAACCTCTGCCTCCCAGGTTCAGGCGATTCTGCCTCAGCCTCCTGAGCAGGTGGAATTACAGGCGCTTACCACCACGTCCAGCTAATTTTCGTAGTTTTAGTAGAGACGGGGTTTCACCATGTTGGCCAGGCTAGTCTCAAACTCCTGACCTCAAGTGATCCGCCCACCTTGGCCTTCCGAAGTGCTGGGATTACAGGCATGAGCCACCGTGCTCATTCTAATTTTTGCTAGGTATGTACCAGAATCACGTATATCCTCCAAGAAGCCTCTTTGGAACGAGGAACCTTGATAGGATCCCTTTAATATTACTAAAGAGAAATCTGATACACAGAGAAAAGTAACTTGCCTATATAGTACAGTTAGTGGCAGATGGGAATGAAAACCAGTTCTGACCACCCCATTCAGTGATCCTGCTGTCACATTATTCTCTTCCATTTATGGAGATAGATAATGTCTAGAAATGTTTTCCTCTCATATACTTTCCCTAAATCGAAACAGATTTTAAAATAATGTCTACACTTACAAATGGTAAAGATGGTAAATTTTATGTTATGTTTGTTTTACCATCACTAATTTTTTTTTAAGAGACTGGGTCTCACTCTATCACCCAGGCAGAAGTGCAGTGCTATGAGCATAGCTCACTGTAACCTCGAACTCCTAGGTTCAATCAACCCTCTCATCTTAGCCTAGTTGAGTAGTTAGGACTACAGACACACACCATGTCTGGCTAATTCAATTTAAAAAAAAATTTTAAAGATACAAATAAACCAGACACCGTGGTGCATATCTATCGTCCCAGCTACTCAGGAGGCTGAGGACAGAGAATTGCTTAAGCTCAGGAATTCAAGTCCAGCCAAGGCAACAGGGTGAGACACCCATCTCTTGATCATGGGAGGACCAAACAGGGGAAGGGTATAGATAAAACAAAATTAACCACAACTTGATAATGACTGAAGCTATACAATGCATATGTGCAGGTTCATTATTATTCTGTCTACTTTTGTATGTTTGAAATTTCCCAATTAAAACAAAAAAGTTCCAGCCAGGTGTGGTGGCTCATGTCTGTAATCCCAGCACTTTAGAAGGCCAAGGTGGGTGGATCACCTGAGGTCAGGAGCTCAAGACCAGCCTGGCCAAAATGGTGAAACTCCGTCTCTACCAAAAATACAAAAATTAGCCAGGCGAGGTGGCAGATGCCTGTAATCCCAGCTACTCAGGAGGCTAAGGCAGGAGAATCGTTTGAACCCAGGAGGTGGAGGTTGCAGTGAGCTGAGATCCCACTACTGCACACCAGCCTGGGTGACAAGAGTGATACTCCGTCTCAAAAGGGCATACTTTAACTCCAGTATCCTAGGCAAAAAAACCTGTTATCCTTGAAACAAAACCAATGAGGAAAAATTAAAATGTGCCATTTTGGTGGTTGTTTCATCAACAAGCTTTTAATGAACAAATCATCTGCGAATCATTTCCACTGCCTATTTTTGCATATCTATTATTCTCCAGCTTCCCCACCTTTACATGCCTCAAAAGCCAACAGTTGCTCACCAAGCGGATAAAGCCAAATCCTTTATCCTTATGAATGAAGACTTCGCCTGCCTTTCCATATTTCTCAAATAGTTTCCTCATTTCTTCCTCGGTGATGTCGGGAGGAAGATTTCCCACAAAAAGACGGCTTCGTTGGGTGAAGGTCTTCTCTCCTGGTTTTCTAAAATTCTTCAGGTCAATAGTCAAGCCTTCATCTGAGAGAAGACACACAGTCACTTAAAAGACTGGGGAAATAGAATTACAGTTGTATCCTCAAAGACCTATAACCATTGATAGATTAGGAAACATTAATTGTTGTAGAGAATGCAAACACCATTTCCCAAGGCAACCTAATCACTTATGAGTATATTGTGCCTTAGAATGTGAAAGCAGTATGCAGAAATCTGCAAGGACATCTGAACAGCTCTATGACAGGCCAGAAGTCAAACTGGACTAAGCAAGAGAGAGAAAAATATAGGCGCCACTGGCCAAAGAGAAAAATTAAGCAATTCAAGGAAGGAGCCCTATGTTACAAGGGATCAGATTTTAACATTCAAAACATACCTTCAGATGAGAATAAACAAACAAAAATAAAATAAAAATAAAAACAAAAACAAAACAAAGTAACGGTTCCATTTTCCTAATCTCTCACCAATTTTCATAACCTTAACAGTTCCCATTCTTTCAGGCTGGGGGCAACGGAATGATGAGTTATGAAAGAGCAATTCTGTATAGTAATCTCTGGAAATAAAGTTGGGATTGGTTCTAGTCTTAGAGGCACACAATTGGTACTCACACGGGAACATATACTTAAAGACTTTTCACAATGAGCTGGTACAGGCTCAAGGCTATAAGTACAGTACTCAGTACCAGACTCCTCCATTTAAGCCTTAAAGGCTTTTCTATATTCTTTTTAACTACCAGTCATCTGATGACTACCCCTAAGAACCACGCTGAGGTAAAACATGCAGACATCTGTTTAGCAACAGAATGTGCCAACACAGCAAAGCAACTTGTACTCAACTGCTTTCATACATGTTTGCTCCTTGGTTTCGGAAAATCAGCCTTTTCCATCATAAGAAGTATTAAGAGGTAAAGAAGAACAAAGGTGTGCCATAAAGCCCTATCTAATTCCCTTATAAGCCCGAGAAACTAATCTAAAAACCAAGAAACCATTCCCAGAGGGAATCTATTTCTACTCCATCACCTAGCATATACACACTTTGGCTGCTGGCCTGTTGCCCATTTGCAGGTATTGGTGGTGGTGGCGGTTGCTGCTGTTGCTGCTGGTGGTGCTGCTGCTGGTGGTGGTGTTGATGATGCTTTCTTGGAGTATGGTTTTGCTTCTCCAAGTTAAAAGTTTTATTACTCTGCATTTTTGCACCCTACAAAGAAAAAGTAGACTAATAAATAAATTCAGTACTAATAACACAATCAGCCACCTTCCTGATGAATTATATGTAATTCATCACCTTTGGTGCTCTGGCTTTTGCCAGAGGCAAACAATTGGTTACTTTGAACAACCATGACAAAGAAGAACAATTCAAAAATGTATCAGTGTTGTATATGGAAACAATGTTAAAAAAAAAATCTTGCGTTCTGGAGGTTACAAAATATAGCAAAAATCAAACAAAAAAGGAAAAAATAAAGAAAAAATAAAGAAAAAGGCCGGGTGCAGTGGCTCATGCCTATAATCCCAACACTTTGGGAGGCGGAGGTGGGAGGACTGCTTGAGTCCAGGAGTTTGAGATCAGCCTGGGCAACGTGGCTCATCTCTACCAAAAAAAATACAAAAATTAGCTGGGTGTGGTGGCACACGCCTGGGGTTCCAGGTACTTGGGAGGCTGAGGTGGGAGGATCACTTGAGCCCAGGAATTCAAGACCAGCCTAGACAATACCACCAGACCCCATCTCTACAAAAACATTTAAAAATGACCCAGGCCGGGCGCGGTGGCTCAACCCTGTAATCCCAGCACTTTGGGAGGCCGAGATGGGCAGATCACGAGGTCAGGAGATCGAGACCATCCTGGCTAACACGGTGAAACCCCGTCTCTACTAAAAAATACAAAAAACTAGCAGGGCGCGGTGGCGGGCGCCTGTAGTCCCAGCTACTCGGGAGGCTGAGGCGGGAGAATGGCGTGAACCCGGGAGGCGGAGCTTGCAGTGAGCTGAGATCCGGCCATTGCACTCCAGCCTGGGCGGCAGAGCGAGACTCCGTCTCAAAAAAAAAAAAAAAAAAAAAAAAAAAAAAAATGACCCAGGCAGGCTGGGTGCATGGCTCAAGCCTGTAATCCTAGCACTTTGGGAGGCCAAGGTGGGTGGATCACCAGGTCAGGGGTTTGAGACAAGCCTGGCCAACATGGTGAAACCACATCTATACTAAAAATACAACAACTAGCCAGGCATGATAGCAGGTGCCTGTAATCCCAGCTACTTGGGAGGCTGAGTGAGACAGGAAAACCGCTTGAACCTGGGAGGCGGAGGTTGCAGTGAGCTGAGATCGCACCACTGTACTCCAGCCTGGTGACAGAGCGAGACTCCGTCTCCAAAAAACAAAACAAAACAAAAAAACACTACCCAGGCATAGTGGCATCGTAGTCCCAGCTACTCAGGAGGCTGGAGCCGGAGGATCACTTGAGCCCAGGAGTTAGAGGCTGTAACAAGCCATGACCGTGCCACTGCACTCCAGCCTGGGCAACCGAGCAAGACCCTATCTGAAAAAAAATAAATAAAAACAAAAATCTAAAAACAACCAGGCATTAGCAGTTATACTGCACATAAAAACTAAATGAGTACTAGATGAGGACAGTTTGTACTAGAATGGCTTAAGGAACTTCCCAGTTCAATACTATACATTAATAGAAAACTACTTTTCCAAAAGAATCTACTCTTAAAAACTGGCCCCATCACACATTCAGGCACACTATAAAAACAAAATGATTGAAATAGATTCTGGTTATCACAAGGACAAAGACTAGTAAAGTCTTATCTTCTCTGGCACCCACCAATCCTAGCCCACAGTACATACTGTGTAAGTAACAGTGGTACAAGTATGGGCTGTGAGGTTAGGCATCCTTAAGTTTGAATTGTGTTTCTCAATTGTGTACTACTTACTAGTAAATTATTCTGTACCTGTTTCTTCAGCTGTTCTAAAGGGGATGATAAAAATACCGCTCTCAAAGAGGCTATGAGAATAAACATGTGAAAATGCTGGCTCACTAATGGCATACAGTACACACTCTAAATATTTATTAATCACAACGGAAAGACAAATGACTACTAAAGCAATAAAAGCAAACATAAAAAGATAGGCCAGGCGAGACAGCTCATGCCTGTAATCCCAGCACTTCGGGAGGCCGAGGCCAGTGGATCAGCTGAGGTCAGGAGTGCAAGAACAGCCTCACCAACATGGTGAAACCCCATCTCTACTAAAAATACAAAAATTTGAGTGGCGCGGTGACACATGCCTGTAATCCCAGTTACTCAGGAGGCTGAGGCAGGAGAATCACTTGAACCTGGAAGGCAGAGGCTGCAGTGAGCCGAGATTGTGCCACTGCACTCCAGCCTGGGCACAAGAGCGAAACTCTGTCTCAAAACAAAAACAAAAACAAAAACAAACAAAATAAATAAAAGGAGAAAAGATAAACAGGATGGGCACAGTGGCTCACATCTGTAATCCCAGCAATTTGGGAGGTCTAGATGGGAGGACTGCTTGGGCCCAGTAGTTAGAGACCAGCCTGGGCAACATAGTGACCCCATCTCTACAAAAAATATGTATAAAAAAATTAGGCATGATAGCACACTCATGTAGTCCCAGCTACTTGAGAGGCTGAGGCTGCAATGAGCTGTAATCACGCCACTGTATTCCAGCCTGGGCAGGGAGAATGAGATCCTATCTCAAGAAAAATAAATAAATTAAAAAAATAAAAATAATAAAATGTTAAATTCTATCATTTAAAAATCAACATTAAGATTAAAAAGAAAACAAGTGTTCCGTGCTCCCAAATGTTGAAATAATAAAAAAAACAAACAAGGCCAGCATGGTGGCTCAGGCCTGTAATCCTAGCACTTTGGAAGGCTGAGGCGGGAAGATGGCTTGAACCCAGGAGACCAGCATGGGCAACATAGCAAGACTCAGTCTCTATTTAAAAAAAAAAAAAAAAAAAAAAGTAGGGTGGAGGGGAGGCCAGGTGCAGTGGCTCATGCCTGTAGTCCCAGCTATTTGGGAGGCTGAGGCTGGACAGTCACTTGAGCCCAGGAAGAGGAGGTTGCAGTGAGGCAAATCATAACACTGCACTCCAGCCTAGGCAACAAAATGAGACCCTATCTCAAAAAAATGAAAAAAATAGGCTGGGCGCGGCGGTTCATGCCTGTAATCCCAGTACTTTGGGGGACTGAGGCAGACCAGATCACCTGAGGTCAGGAGTTTGAGACCAGCCTGGCCAACATGGTGAAACCCTGTCTCTACTAAAAATACAAAAAATTAGCCAGGTGTGGCAGTGTGCACCTGTAGTCTCAGCTACTTGTGAGGCTGAGGCAGGAGAATTGCTCGAACCCAGGAGGCCGAGATTGCAGTGAGCAGAGATGCTGCCATTGCACTCCAGCCTGCGCAGCGGAGTGAGACTTGGTCTCAAAAATAAACAGGCCGGGCGCGGTGGCTCACGCCTGTAATCCTAGCACTTTGGGAGGCCAAGGTAGGAGGATCACCTGAAGTTGGGAATTCGAGACCAGCCTGGCCAACATGGTGAAACTCTGTCTCTACTAAAAATACAAAAATTAGCCAGGCGTGGTGGCGCATGCCTGTAATCCCAGCTATTCGGCAGGATGAGGCAGGAGAATCGCTTGAACCTGGAAGGCGGAGGTTGCAGTGGACCGAGATCATGGCCGTTGCACTCCAGCCTGGGCGACAGGAGTGAAACTCCGTCTCAAAATAAATAAAAAAAAATAAAGGAAAAAAAAAAGATTATTGGTATAATCCAGACTGAATTCAAAAGTGGAGTTTTAAAATGCAAATTTTCAAATTGATCAGGTTAACAAACTGAGGACAGTCTTCCTTATTCAAGGACAGTTCTCCAGGAATTAAAAGGACATCAAACCTAAATCCATTCCCTCAAACACAAGACGCTCTAGTAATAATTTAGCTGAAGGAAAGATGCAGAAAAGGACTTTTACGAGCATCATATTAATACTATATGCTTCCTTTGAAATAAGAGAAAATTGGCTGCGGTGGCTCACACCTGTAATCCCAGCACTTTGGGAGGCCGAGGCAGGCAGATCACAAAGATCAAGAGCTCGAGACCAGCCTGGCCAACATGGTGAAACCTCATCTCTACTAAAAATACAAAAATTAGCCAGGCGTGGTGGCGGGTGCCTGTAGTCCCAGCTACTCAGGAGGCTGAGGCAAGATAATTGCTTGAACCCAGGAGGTGGAGGTTGCAGTAAGCTGAGATCGCGCCACTGCACTCCAGCTTGGACGGCAGAGCAAGACTCCACTTCAAAAAATAAACAAATAAATAAAAATAAAGAAAATTAGGTAGGATACGGCGGCTCACGCCTGTAATTGCGGCACTTTGGGAGGCGGAAGTGGGTGGATCATTTTGAGGTCAGGAGTTCAAGACCAGCCTTGCCAACATAGTGAAACCCCATTTCTCCTAAAAATACAAAAATCAGGCCAGGCGCAGTGGCTCATGCTTGTAATCCCAGCACTTTGGGAGGCCAAGGTGAGCAGATCATGAGGTCAGGAAGTTTTGAGACCAGCCTGGCCAACACAGTGAAATCCCGTCTCTACTAAAAATACAAAAATTAGCTGGGAGTGGTGGCGGGTGCCTGTAATCCCAGCTACTCGAGAGGCTGAGGCAGGAGAATCGCTTGAACCCGGGAGGCGGAGGTTGCAGTGAGCTGAGATTGTGCCACTGCACTCCAGCCTGGGCAACAGACCTAGACTCCGTCTCAAAAATAAAAATAAAATAAATAAATTAGCCAGGCATGGTGGTGTGCACCTGTAATCCCAGCTACTTGGGAGGCTGAAGTGGGAGGATCACTTGAACCCGGGAGAGAAAGATTGCAGTGAGCTGAGATCACACCACTGCACTCCAGCCTGGGCGACAGATTGAGACTATCTCAAAAACAAAACAAAATAAAACAAAACAAAACACAAAAAACAAAAAATAAAATTGGCCAGGCGTGGTGGCTCACAACAGTAATCCCAACACTTTGGGAGGCTGAGGGTGGACTGCTTGAGGTCAGGAATTCAAGATCAGCCTGACCAACACGGTGAAACCCCGTCTCTACCAAAAACACAAAAATTAGCTGGGCATGGTGGTGGGCACCTGTAATCCCAGCTACTCAGGAGGCTGAGGCAGGAGCATCACTTGAACCTGAGAGGCGGAGACTGCAGTAGGCCAAGATGGTGCCACTGCACTCCAGCCTGGGCAACAGACTCTGTCTCAAAACATAATAAACACAAAAAATTATATTTCTCAAATGAAAGAAATGTGACACAGGCTTGATAACTACTGATTTTGACGATGAGTATATGGGAATATTTTCATGTGTATAAAAACATTCCTAATCCATTTTATGTCACATCCCACCAAAACTGAAAACATCAATGCAATTACCAAATTCTGTATCCAAAAGTTTAGTAAGAGAACAGTTAACAAGAGCTATCAAGATGTTCATTCATAGTCTTTAATTCGGAAATTCTACTCCTGGAAATTTATCCTAATAATTTTAAAATTGAAAACTACACTCGTGAAAATGTTCATTGTAATGGCCTTTATGGTAACAAAATAATAAAAATGACTTAAATTTCCAAAACTAGGGGAAAGGTTTTCATGAAATTATGGTACAGCTATATAATAGAATATTCACAGCATTAAAAATTATGAAGACCACATAAACACGACTATGTCTGATACTCTAACAGGGAAAGGGTTTTTTTTTTTTTTAATTTTAAAGCTGTGAATATAGACAAGGAACAGAAGGTAGGCAAAAATGAAAACTGCATTGCTTGTAGGTTACTGATAATTTTTCAATTCACGATTTCATTAAAAAAATATTCAGTGAATGCCTACCATTTGCTAGGCACTATTCTAGATGGTTAGAGTGGATCAGTGAACAAAGCAGATTCTTGCCTACAGAGCTTACTTCTAGTGAGAGACAACATATATAAGTAAATTATATAGTACTTAAGAAGAGATAAGTGCTATGGGAAAATAAATTAAAACGGGGGAGGAAGGTAAAGTGGATAGGGAGTGGAAGGAGGCAGATGGTAATAAACCTCACAATATTTGACATTTCAGCCAAGATTTAAATTTTCACATTTATATCATTTAATCAATTTTGTTTTTCATTAATAAGGTATCAGAAATTACAATTTAAAATCCTATTTAAAAATTTTTAAACAGAAATTACTATCAGATACTTATTACAAAATGTATTAATATAGAAAATTTAGAAAAACCAAAATAAATAAAAATACAAATATAAAAATCCACAGATCTGCCACTAAAAATAGTCACTATTAACATGTTGGTATATCCTTCTAATCATTAATTTAGGTATTTGAAATGAGATATGATAAAAACTATTCTGTAACCTGTTTTTTCCACTTTATGATGTATCATAAACAGTTTTCACGTCATTAAATCTTTTACGTTAATGGACACAGCATTCAGTTGTCAACCAAGTCCCTACTGTGTTGGACACCTGGGTTGCTTCTTATTTTTCACCATTATAATCAATGCTCATAGCTAAATCTTTGGACAGATCCATGATTAAATATTCCTCCCACAATTTTCCATTCTTGCTTACTTAGACATACATTATCATTTTGGTAACTGATAATGCACCCTTGTATATTCAGTTTCCTAATTTCTGCTAACGTCAACATAATTGTAATTTTTAATGACTAAAGTTCCCCAGGATGTACTAATTTAATTTACTAAACTACACCCTACTACAAGACATTTAGGTTGTTTTTGGCTTTTCCTATTATAATGCTGCAGTAAATGTCTTCTGGCTTTCAGTTTTATTTCCATTTAATTATTTCCATAGGATAAATTCTTAAAAATAGAATCTACCCTGTGACCCTTGCCACGAAGTGCAACATCGTTTTCTCAAAAAGTTGTAAGGATTTTAAATGCCACGAGCAGGTGTAGCAGTTTCATGGCAAATGAGATATCTTAAAAAAAAAAAAAAAAAAAAAGGAAATAGTCTTTTAAAAAATAAGATATAAAAGCAGGAAGTTAAAACACACGAAATCTAAAGTCCACCCTGGAAAGAGCTGGGGATGGGGTAAGGTGGGCATCAGAATCAAATCTTTTCCTATTTGGGTTCCAGGTGTTACCTCTCTCTTCCCCTGGCCCCGGAGAGGCCCAAGATGGAATGTACTAGTGAAGACTGTCATACTGTATAAAGCACCTAGAACAGTGCCTACCAAGTAGCAAGTAGCTCGAGAAGTATTTCTTCCTATCACCTACTTCTCATGACCACCAATATAATTTGGAAATATGTGCAGAGCCCTCTTCAGAGTAATAAATTCACCGTCGCCTAAATATTGGGCCTCTGAAAAGTGAACACAGCACAAACATCAGCAGCAAAGATTTCTATCTACTTATGTGTTCCTGAGACTAATAATCCTGATGAAGAATTCTGAGAGAAAATACGTATTGCTGGTTAGAAAGACTAACTACTGGGCATGTTACAATTGAACAAATGTTTAGGTACAGGACCAAACACTACATCACACATATCTGAAATCTTAATCTGGTATAAATTTACGAGACTGAGATGGCTGCCTGGATGGCCAGCCTGAAAGCTGCAAAATGAACTAAGGTCCTTTGCTAAGAGTTTCTTAGGACTTTTCATTTAATAACAAAGAAGGTGGACAAAGACACAGTACAAATATAGCCAGGCCACCCCCCCCCCCACACTAGAGTTGCCAGATCCAGCAAATAAAATACACAACCCACAATTAAATTTGAATTTCAAATTTAGTTGAAACTATGCAACGTATACTTAAAAATAATTGGTTGTGTAAGTGAAATTCTAATTCAACTGGGTGCCCCGTGTTTTGTCTGGCAACCCTATCCCTTACACCTACCTCAACTTCGATTAAAGACAGCAAAGTGCCTCCCAGTTCTCTCTAACCTCGACTTCTCTGTTAAAAACACAAAGAAACGTGTCAGGTTATGGTAAGAGTTTCTCAATCTGGAAAATAAAATACTCGATGCGAAATCCATAAATTTAAGTTTCATTTTAAAAAGTGACGCTATATAAATGCGTCAAGGAGCCAGGCGGTAAGACTAGAAAAAGGGCATACAGAAATCAGACTACGAAAGCGGTGGGCTCTGGATATGCAGAGGAACTTTCCAGCTAAGAATTTTGACAAAGAAATATCGCTCGAGGGGCCCCATTTGCCCATTCTGAATTAATGGCCTCGCGGGGCCGAGAGGAGGAGCGCCCGACAAAGCGCCTCCTCCTCCAACCAACCACGACTTCAGCGATCTCTCATAATAGACCCCACACCCTCGGGCCCAGAGCGGCTCAGAGGCCGGCAACTTATACTGACACGGGTAAGATTCGGAGATGAGTTGCACAAAGAAACGCGGCGGGAACGAAAACGGGGAAAGCCCGATGCGAAGCGAGTTAAGAGAGGTGGGCCCCCGCGGGTGGGCTGAGAAGGCAGTGTGGCGGCGGAGACAAGGCCTCAAGGGGCCTCGGAACCGCCATCCTCCCTCCAAACCTAGCTTCACCCTCGCCTCTTCTTTCGCTGATTGTTCCAAGAAATCCCACTACCCTCCCAAACAAGAACCAAGCCGTCCCAAAACTCACCCTCTACCGACTGGTCTCTCCTCGGAGTAACGGCGACGCTACACGGCCTCTCCCGTCCCGAGAAAAGAGCGCGCGACCGCCGGAAACGAGACGACGGAGCTCGGTGCCTCCCAGGGGTACAAAGTGGCGTTCTCGATTGGTTAGCTGAACTGCTAATCAAGGTTTATCTCCCGAGCGGAATCATTTTTCCGCCATTTCTTAGATTCTATTGGCTGCCGAATGCCAAAGGCTTGCGTTCGTGTGAACGACAGATGGGGACAAAGAGCGAGGCTCTGTACCTAATGCGCATGTGCAAGCGGCCTGGCGCGTGAGACGGAAAAGGAAAGGGGGAGGGGGAAAAGGAAAAGGAGAGGAGCTGGGGCTGGGGGTCGGAAGGAGAGACATAAACGAACTAACTGAAAGACTCAAAGACTAAGTGGTGGGAGGGGGAAAGGAGAGGAGAAAATGGGAGAGGAAAGTGGAAAGAGGGAGAGGAAGGGGAGAAAATGCGCGCGTAGGCGTGCTCGGAGCAGTCCTGCACTGCGCCTGTGCAAGAAGCAAGAGTAACAATGTCATTGTATTCAATGTAATAGATTTGGCCTTTTCCTACTGAAAAAGTGCCCCGCCATGTTTCTTTTTTCACACTTCCTTTTTAGGGCTTGCATCCTGACACTACATACTTAATCAGATTTCTATGTGCTTCTCCTGTTGCTGGGGCTGCTCGGGAAACGCAAATGAAATAGTCAACTCTTTGGTCATGGTTACAGACGGGATGGGGGAGGAGGGGGTGCATCACACCTTAGTCTCTGCGTGATTACACAGAATTGTAACCAGCACCCTCATTTCCATGGTAACCAGAAAACTTAGCAGTCCAAACATCACTATTGTTCCTATGATTTACAGAGAGATTCAACAGGTGTCATCATTGCCATGGATATATTGTAGGCCTCTAGATCAGACTGTATATTCCATAGGAGGCCTATCAGTAACTAACCTTCATTGTTTCAGTAATGCCTAACTCGCCCTGCCCCCGTGGTTAACCAAGGACTACAAGGATCAATTGATAAGTATTTGTTGTTAATTCCCATTAATTAATTCACACTCAGGGTTGCAGGGTATCCCAATGGGCGCCACCTTATGTGGGAACGCAATGATCTAGACTTGGGCTGTTCAATAGAACTGTCTGCAATGATGGAAAGGTCCTATGTCTGCTGTGTTCAATATGGCAGCTACTAACTATAAGTAGCCATTGAAATAGAACTAATGCAACTGAGAACCCGAATTTTTAATTCTGGCTGGGTGCAGTGCTCATGCCTGTAATCCCAGCACTTTGAGAGGCCGAGATGGGAGGATCGCTTAAGCCCAGGAGTTCGAGACCAGCCTGGGTAACACGGCGAAAAACCATCTCCAAAAAAAAAAAAAAAAAAAAAAAAGGAAATAGTCTTTTAAAAAATAAGATATAAAAGCAGGAAGTTAAAACACACGAAATCTAAAGTCCACCCTGGAAAGAGCTGGGGATGGGGTAAGGTGGGCATCAGAATCAAATCTTTTCCTATTTGGGTTCCAGGTGTTACCTCTCTCTTCCCCTGGCCCCGGAGAGGCCCAAGATGGAATGTACTAGTGAAGACTGTCATACTGTATAAAGCACCTAGAACAGTGCCTACCAAGTAGCAAGTAGCTCGAGAAGTATTTCTTCCTATCACCTACTTCTCATGACCACCAATATAATTTGGAAATATGTGCAGAGCCCTCTTCAGAGTAATAAATTCACCGTCGCCTAAATATTGGGCCTCTGAAAAGTGAACACAGCACAAACATCAGCAGCAAAGATTTCTATCTACTTATGTGTTCCTGAGACTAATAATCCTGATGAAGAATTCTGAGAGAAAATACGTATTGCTGGTTAGAAAGACTAACTACTGGGCATGTTACAATTGAACAAATGTTTAGGTACAGGACCAAACACTACATCACACATATCTGAAATCTTAATCTGGTATAAATTTACGAGACTGAGATGGCTGCCTGGATGGCCAGCCTGAAAGCTGCAAAATGAACTAAGGTCCTTTGCTAAGAGTTTCTTAGGACTTTTCATTTAATAACAAAGAAGGTGGACAAAGACACAGTATAAATAT